TCATATGAGTTGAAATTGGACAATTAGTCTTTATCATGTAAATACTACCACTGAAGTCACAGGGACTACCGAGAGCTGATTAAAATGGACACCTAAGAACCAAATTCCTATTTCTAAATACTTTACTGTCTCTTTTAAATGCACTTTATAACAGTGAAGAAAGTGAAGCAATGCCCGCAGTAGAACACTAAGGGGCCCATAAGAAAGATGGGGCCAGACTTTTTAGTAAAGCCTGTTGTGATAGGACAAGGGATAATGGTTTTAAACTGAAAGAGGATAGATTCAGACTACATATAAGGAAGAATTTTTTTAAAATGTGGGTGGTGAAACACTAGAATAAGTTGCCCAGAGACATGGTAGATGCTCCATCCGTGGAAACATTCAAGGTCAGGCTGGATGGGGCTCTGAGCAACCTGATCTAGTTGGAGATGTCCCTGCTCACTGCAGGGGGGTTGGACTAGATGACCTAGTCTAATACTACATTACATTTTTTCCATGTATTTTTCCTGATGGGACCATCTAGACATTTGGTTGTACAAAAGCCACAGAAAGTCAGTCATCAGACTAAAACTGAGATCTCGTTTTGCCCATGGGCCACAGCAGCTAAATTCTGGAGAAGGGTGAAAGGAAGACTGCTTCCTTAGCATGGAAGAGTATTAGCAATAATGAGGAACTGAAAGCTTTGTCTTCTCTGAGGGAATTAATCCCTATCCAAAAGCTACAGAATAACCTTGTATTTCACCCGTTCACCTCAGACCCTGAAGAACTCCAGTTCTTAGGAAGTTTCACCAAATAATAAGACCTAAATTACTTCTATTCAACCTGAACCTGCACAAAATACTTTGAGACAAAGTATCATCTTATATAACATCTAAAATTACACAGCTATTGCAATTTTAACTCTCAGACAAGAATACTTCCTGTCTTCAGTAAACCTCACTCTTGGTCCATTTGAAAAATCATGATCCTGGCCTTAAAAAATAGCTATTAAATGCAGGAGTCATAATGTATTAATCAGCTGTTTGTTGCTGGAATTAAAAAGCATTTATTTTTTAGTAACCGACTGAGCTCTAAGCTCACTGCTCCAGAATGTTACAACATTTTAGAAAATAAATTCTTTTCTTTCTTTCCCCTTCCACTTTACTAACATAGTGTCACAAGTAAAGGCTATTATTATTCAAATGCTTCATACACCAAATATATCCAACATCAATTCTTATTTTTCAGCTGGTGATCAATAGATTGTATCATAATTAATAATCCTTCAGTCCCGAGATCAAATATATTAATTTGTTTCAAGTGTATTATTCAGTTTCTCGTAACCTTGCAGGTTCTGAACCCACAAAGAACACCACAAAAAGAACTCTTGACAGAAATAACATGTTAAGACTGAAAATGCACTGCAAATCAACGTGCATGCTTCATAATAAATACAGGGAAATATATTACAAAGAAACTACAAATAGAATCAATTTTTGAAATACTAATTTCAAAAAACTCAAGTATGGAAAAATGTTATTGAAAAAGATGAAAAAACAGAAGAAAAAAAATAAAACAAACCCAAACATTTTTAGCAAGTTCAAGAATTCTACAAATTACTCCATCAGTGGAAACTTACCCAATAAAGGCAAAGCATTTGCAGAGTAGAGGAGATAAGGCAAGAAACTTGGAAGAGGACAGAACTGTCTATTGAAATCCAGAACTGAAACAAATTATCTTGCATTGGTTTGTAGGAAGCTGCTACAGCCACTGCCCTAAACAAAAGTTTAGCCCTAGTAGTATGAGATAGAGAAAAGAATTTAGCATTCAACCCATCTAATACCACTTCTGTATGTGCTTCCATAAAACATCAATGTATTATCTGGACGAGATCATAATTACATTGAGAAGGGAAGAAAGCAGATAAATATGTCTATATTGAGGAGGATATTGTAGGAAAGTTGCATAAAAATGCCCCCGTGCTCCAGCCTTTCCAACCACTAAAGGGAAAGAAACACAGTTTTCCCACACATTTCCTGGTTTCAAATACAGTGCCATGATAAAACCCTGAAGGATAATTCAGATGAGTAAGAAACTCTAGTGCTTACACACTTCGCTGGAAAAAGCTCCACTACAGAAAGCACCAAGCACGGACAAACAAGGGTATCAGCAGTCCCTATTCAGTAACATGGAGAGTAGGTTAAACTCTTCCTTAGAGCTCAAGATTTACGTGTCCCACAAAGTAAATATTCTACTATCAGTTGAGGACTGCCTGGCAACATACCTTCAGACATCATATAAATACTCTGATATATTCACAATATATACTGGATGCAGAATCTAAAACAGAGCATTAGGCAACTAAAAAAATAAATATAAATTTCCTTCATACCTATCAATCATCCGGGTTTGTGACAATAAAATTAGTAGGTTTACAGTCACCGGCAGCCAATATCACTTTCTGAGTCCCGTGAAATAGAACAGGACTGTTGTCTTGGGTTTCCCAGCACTGCAGGGGAATATTTAACTTGTTATAAATCTTGTTCTCATAGCACTGATTTTAAAAGTATCAAGTGCTTCTGAATTCATACTAGTTTTTCAAATGCCTTTTGCTTTAAACTTTTACTAAAGAAGTATTTGCAATACAAGTGTTCTTTACAAACTGAAAGTGAGGCACACTATGCGATTTTGATCTAGACACACCTTTCCTGTATTCTTGGGTCCAAACCATTTGACAGAAAAAAAAAGAGTTACGTTAGTTTGACCACTGTTTTGAAATTACATCCACTCAAGGATGCGTTTTGACAAGGCTTCCGCAGCTTCCACTGAATTCCTTTCCTCCCTTCAACAGATGCAAATTGAGCTCTCTGTTTAAAACTATTAACATCTGGGGAAAAAAATCCTAAAGCAAAATCCTCAGTGATTAAGACTTACATAGTCAAGCTACAAAACTACAGATATAAAGGTGAAAAAATAAAAATAGAAAGCTTTCAAAGTTACTGTTAACAAACAAAAGAAAAATTTTCATGTGTTTTTCTTAAAACTAAAAAACCCAAAGACTTGCAGCTCCCGTAGTTTATGTCCCCCCTGATAATTTTGCAATTATTGATCAGAATATGCAAGACCTACTGAAACATTTGCCCCAGAATTTCATAGATAGGTTGGACTATAAAGGCATGGTTATCCAAAATCTAACATAAAGGCAGTATATCGTTAATATTTATGTATTTAAAATACCATATAGGGGAATTAATATTTCTATACAGGAAAGAAATAGTTATTTAGTTGCAGACAACTTGATAACATCTCTTTCAACTACAGTTATAAATATCATGTATGTACTTCCAAAGCAGAAGTTGTCAAGATTTAACATTAGCATTAATTTATGTCAGGCATCCATTTCTCCAAAGACAGCAAGAATCAAAAAGGAAGTATCATCTTAATTGCCACTAATCTGCCCATTTTTAATTAAATTGATCAGTAATTTATTATCTTACCCAGCAGCAGCAAGCTGTTAGCATGCAGCTTTAAGAGACAGCATATACTAGTCCTTCTAATAGTATCATGGTTCAAAAATAATTTAAACAATTTCTTTCAAATCCTGTACTGCATGATATGCACATTACATTTAAAACCTCTGAGAAGCACTTTAGAGCATAATCATAGAACCATATAGGTTGGAAAAGACTCTTTAAGATCATCGAGTCCAACTGCAAACCTAGCACTGCCAAGTCCACCACTAAATCATAGCCCCAAGCGCTGTGTCTACATGGTGACTCAATCACTTCCCTGGGCAGCCTGTTCCAATGCCTGACAACCCTTTCTGGGGAGAATTTTTTCCTAATATCCAATCTAAACCTCCCCTGGTGCCACTGGAGGCTGTACAGGCTACATGCACTGTTCTCCTCTTCCATAGTCTCATACTCCAACACAGGTGTACGATCTTCATTTTACTTTAGAGGAACATGATTTCCCTGCCAAAAATTGTTTAGAAGGTAACAGTTGACTCCAACATGGTTCAGGATGTGCTCTGCACTCAAACCACATTCTTGGGTCTTATCTGCAAGCTAATTTTTTTTTTTTTTTTAAATTGAACAGAGTGAGCTTGAAACTTTTAGGTTTGTGAATCTCGATTCTCATTTCAGTGGAGGAAAGGGGGCTAGAAAATGTTCAATACCTAAATTGAAGCCTAGAAATATCTTTAGCTGAAGTTTCAGAAAGTAGTCTACCAGTTTGATAAATAAAATTAAATGTGCATTTACTTTTTTAAAATAGCAATTAATACAATTTCCTGAACATGGCATTGTTTTAGTACTGTGCTCTGCAGTCATCAACACAATTAACTGGAATAGACAAGGCATCTTCACTCAAACTGTGTGTAAAACCTGCGTGTAATTGTTTTTATAGCTAAAAAGGACTGATATATGTTACTGCTACTATGTGATATATTAGAATATAGTTACAGGGCTACTAGAATCAAAACTATCATTGTAAAATATCCTGTAATACTTTGTGAATGATCTGCATCACATAAACGAATAACAAATCCTGGTTTACAGAGCATAAACATACATGAATGGAGATGTCTAAACATTACTTTCCATACACTTATAAAGGTACAAAACCGATAAGATCTCTCATTCCAGTAATCAAGCAATGCATTATTTCAAATATGAAAGTACATAAACATTTTATTTATAGATAATTTTTTACAATTAAGCTTTTTGTAGTATATGCCAAGCACCTTTTACAGGTGTTTTTATTAAATAGGAACAAAGGTTTTGCTTGAAATGAGGATTAGTAAATCTGATTTACACTGGGGAAAAAGGAATACAATTACGCTGTGTATTTACAGTGCCAGGAAGAACAAAGGAGTAAAAATAAAACTTGAAGAGTAAAAGAGTTCAATTTTTTTTTTTTTCTCAAAGCTTTCCTTAAATACCTAAGTGGATAATTTAATTCCCAAATGAGTTAAGCAATATAATCATCCCCAAGTATTTCATTCTTTTCACTCAGCGTACCTTAACAAGTTTCAAGAGGTGGTAAAGGTCTTCAACTTCATCTTCCTGACATGTGGTATACACTCTTCCAGTGTTTACACTGCTACCCTTTATGAAACCACGATAGAGTGGCAAATCCAATGCATCAGCATATAGGTCAATGGCATGGTATCCTACTGTCTGATACATATAGCTGTCCAATTCATCAGACTGCCCTGCCACAATTAAGAAACAATCGTATTAGGTACATTATTTCAACAATTACAGATAATTGTAAAACTACGAAGCACAGACAAAATCTAAATGTTAATAGTTTTCAATTCACAAACAGATGTTTGGTGACAATACCTCTACAAACATGGAAAGAAAAAAAAAAGATTTCTCCACCCAACAGACTTATGGAGAGGAAGGCATCTGTCACAAACATGCTGCCTATTTGGAAATTGTGGTGCCTATTTCTTCTTTAATATTCCTCCCTGCTTCATCCAAAAATCTCGTAACAGTCCAATCCTGCTCCTATTTATATGGTAATTTAAATAGGAACACAGTTCAGAGGTAGAAACCCAGATGCATGTCAACATACTCAGAGTAAGAAATTTGGAATGTACTACAATACTGAGAATAAGCAGTAAGTTTTCAAAATTTCCAAAAACTTTACCATAGTCATCAAGAAAGACCACTACAAGGTTTAGACGCTGCTTAATATACAAAAAGAAAAGGAAACCTATTATAATATCCAGGCCCTTTCTACCTTCACTCCTTTTAAAAATTAAGCTCAAAATAACATCAATTCCTTGCTGCTATTTCCTTAACCAGGAGAAAAATTTAACTTAAATTTTTCTACAAACAGTTTGTAGCTAGCAGATAGAAAAACACAGCTAAAATGCAGACATTATGGATTAAAATTAAACCTCAAACTATCTGATAAACTGTTCACATATATAATATTTCAGATAATTTTTTAAACAGATTGATAAAGCAATACATCATCACTGGTGAAATCTCCACCGCATTTATTAAAAGCTAACACAGTTCACTATTTTAATGCTAATTTCTAATACTGGAACTTCTCTTAATTTACACAGACACATTAAGCATCTCTGCTGTATACCTATATAGCACATCTTGCAGAGAGAAAGGTCCGTAACACTGATCAAGATAACTAATTTATGATGTAACAATTAGGTCACGACACAATTGATGTCATATAATAGACAGACTTTCGCTCAAAATGGGCATATCCAAACCCATAATCACAACTAACCAACCTAGACCAAAAGAGTTGCTTTAAAAGAAAACTCAGTGTTTTTCAACATACACAAATATGAGAAGGTCTTTAAACTGCTATTCAGTTCAGAATACACAGGTTTTTTATTAATTGGGACTCTCCAGGCAACAGCGGTACAAGATAAAATAAAATGAATGGCACAGAATCCACTATTGCCTGAAGCACCTCAATTAGCTTTCCACAAAATTTCCAACTGCACACTTAAAGAGAGCATTTTATGATTTTAATGACAATATTCTACATTTCTGATGTGGATAAATTAGTTTAAAGACAACATATTTCAACAAGATTAGAGATGATTATATCCTAGCTACCCAGAAAATAAATTGTTCCTGTACTCCCCAGCATTTGCCAGTTCCGTCTGTGACTCATATGTGACGGCAGCTCCCTTTTCCCTTCACTTTCTCTGTGTATCCTCCTACCATACAGCTACCAGATATCATACTTAATTGATTAACATATGTTAAACAGTTAACCTATGTTAACATACTTTAACATTCTGCCCTACCAACTGGGAAACAACTCACTTCCTTTTCAAGTCCCACTTCAAGTTCAATTTCTGCTCTAGTCCAACACAGAAGTACTCAGCTCAGCCCCTCACCTCACCGCTCGCTGACTTACACCACCCGAGCTTCTCCCATTCTCTCGCACAGAAATAAGTCTAGGTGCAGCCTGTGAGGAACTGATCAGAAAAGTGGTCCAAGCTAAAAGGAAAAGGGCAGGAAAAACCAGTGCATCAAAGGTCAGTTCCAATCCAGATCAGTTCCTCAATCCAGTTCACAAATGTGGGACTAGAATAATGGAGGAAGATACACAAAGTTTAAAAAAAAAGGCATTAGTAAAACTGCATATTTTTGGCAGCTGGAATGGTTTATGCCAGTTAAAGCATTTCTAGAAAAACAGCATTTGTTTTGCTTGATGATATCCTCCACCACCTTTTACTGTTTGTGCAACTGAACTCATACCCTTTGTTTACCATCAGGAACAGTCATACTTCCCCTTTTTCAAACTGTGTAAGCCTTTCTTTTAGTGATCTTCACCTTCTTGTGCTTTTTCCCCCTTTAAGGAAAAATACATTTAATATGTCTCCATAGCATTTTCTTTTTTCTACCTCTTTTTAGATATCTAGATTGTCCTTCAATATGCAAAGCTATATGCAAACATACAAAGGAATTTAATTCAGGCACAACTGTGCCTCCATTGTTTCTAATTAAAAAAAAAATCTCATATAAGAAATGTGACTTTCATACCTGTGTTTTCTGCAGGTCTTAAATTGGCTAGAGCAACAATCTGATGCCCAGCAGCAACACACTGCATCATGTTATAACAGCTGTCCTTCCCACCACTGTAAGAAAAAGAAAATAGTGGCAATTAAAAGGATTGCTAAAAGCTTCATCCCTTATGACTTTTGCCTAACTACTTATAAATTAATATCATCACAGGTGGTTATAAAGTTTTGAAACTAAAAAAAAAAGCTTGCAAAATATTAGCAGTAGGAAAAGGATGATGTCACAACACCACGTCTACTATAGTGCCTCCATGCAGTATCCATAAAGCACATATCTAGTTCTGGATCTCATTACTAACCCGAGAGGTCCCATGAAGAACAGCCCCTTACACTGGAATTCCTTCAGAACAAGGACAGTCTTCTACTGTAGAGATTAATGACCCTGTACTTATTACTAGATAACTTGGATTAAAAAACCAGTATCTGCTCCAGAGAGCTGCTGCATTAGCAATCTTTTTAAATGAAGACTGTCATGTTAGGAATAACATTTGCCTAAAGTTCCAACATTTTAAACATACTTCCCAATCTCAACAGCTGTAATTATCACAGGCAGTAGGTTCCATTGACATCGCATTGAGCAGAGAAATTTTTTACTGTCTATAACCGCAAATAAAAATAATTACTGTTGATATAAAAAATAAAACCAAACAGAAACAGAACAATATTCTTCTCTGAGGCCAAGAGATGATAGTCTAACAGAGAATACAATTAATTTTGATGTTCATTCAAGATCTACTGGAACCTTTTCCACTATCAATGAGGAAAGAATCCTGCTCTCCTGGTATTAACTGAAATACAGTATTTTCCAAGGATTTTAATCACTATCAAAAGAGATATTACAGTCTAACAGCAGCACTAAGAGTGCTCTAGAATACATACTGCTTAGAAAATCCCCATTCAAACTCCCAGCCTTCAAACTACAACTGCAGGCGGAGATTCTGTACAGCTTCTTTAAATGTCAAGGCACAGAAACCAGTCCAGGGAAGGAACTGGAACAGAGATCTAGACCAGCTCTGTAAAACTGTGTCTTGCCTTAGAGTCACTGAGACAGGACAGAGCAGATAATACAAGCACTCCTTGCTACAACAGACCTTCGGTTTCCTTGTGACCACAGTACTACTAACAAACTTCTTCAGCATTTCCAATGTAAAGTTCACATTTTTATCTAGCCCTCCATGCCAAAGCTTGAACATGTGTTACAGGACTGCAAACGTACAGCTATTCCCCTCAATTTCTGCTTTTATCCATGCTAAAATTCTGTATGCTGACCTTAATTTTCTGTGTCACTCAAACCTAGAGTAGAAATAGTATAAATAACATGGCATCCAGATTTTCAAAAAGCAGTTGTTCACATTTCAGTGCTATGAAAGTAAATACACAATAATAAATAGATTACTCATTTGAGGTTCCATCTCTACCTGACATTATCCTCAGGCATGCTTACAACTTTCTTCCAACCTATATATGGACAAAAAAATTTTAAAAATCATATGTTCATTATTTCTGGATACTGCGCTTGATAGCTTAAAAACGTAGTTAGTATTCACTTCATAATGTGAAATTTCAGGCTTAACAGAATCATAATGAGACAAAGGCTCTTTTCTTTCTGAATGACTTCATTCTAAAAAATAAAAGCCTCCCACTAGTTCTGATTTCAACTCAAAACTCAACTTCAGAAAAATAATGACAGTAGATAATTGTCTATGTTGCTTATATCATTTCAATATTATTTTTAATATAAAAAATTAAAAGGACACTAGAATAAATCTATTAATATTTTCAATTAATTTTTATTTTAAAAAGACATGTTAAGATGAGGCTACATTCAGATTTCCCACACTTGCCCATCAATTACTTGATCAAAATTTGTAGAGTGCTCACTGGATCACATGCTACTGAACTGTTACTTATTTTCTGTACTACTGTTATCACGGCCCTAAAACCTAACCATACCAAAAACATAACAAAATGGTGCCTACCTACAGGGCCTTCTAACCTAGCTGCAAAACACACCACAGTTCAGACCAAGGAAGCCAGAGGGCCCATGCTGTGGGAAGGTGGACTCAGCAGTCCCAGCCTGGCTGCTGTCTAATAGATTGTAACCAAAAACAAAAGAAAGAAAAAAAGCTTTAAGAAGGAAGATGAAGGCAGGTACTGAGGTAGCCCAGGGATTCCTCTCAATTCTCATCACAGGAAAAAAAAAAACCCAACCAAAAACCATGAGGCCCTTTTGTAGAAAAACTAACCCTAACAGTCAGGGTTAGCTTTGACAGTGTTGCAAGTATGCTAATGGGTAGGCTTATAAACAAAATACCAGAAGAAAAAAAAATACAGTAACCATAAAGATACAGGTCCATAAAAGACTTCTGAGCAGAGTTCTTTCTATTGACAAGTGTAACCGTTTACAGTACAAAAATTCTAGAAGAACAGAAGAGTTGAAAAACATTGTATTTCAGGTAGAAAACTGGTTTTAAAACGTCTATGATTTGACAAAAAATATGGGGTTTATCCCATAAACACCACCTTAAAGCAAGACTATCAATTTTAAGTGTGGACAACATTTTAAAAGAAAAAGAAACAGGTTAAAGTAGTTTTATATACAATCCTGACCTTTTCAAAAGTAAGAAGCACTTTCAAATACTTTTTTTCCCCCTCTGATCTTTAAGGCTAGCTCTGTTACAAAGATTTCAGACACTTTGATGTCTCTTTAAAACTCTTCTTAAAACTGTTACTGAAACTAAATCCATCCTTGTAAAATTGCCCATTAAAATAGCAATTGTGTTAGAAACCTGTTTTTAGGATTTTATTTCATCTTGCCTTTTAACACATTCCTTTGCTCACAGAATATCAAAATAAATAAGCCTAGAAGACAAAATCTTATCTATAAAAGAAGAAAAAGCACTGAAGCTGATTTTCCTACCCTGTATTTAAGCAAATCTTGAAAAACACAGATAACATTTGCTCTATTTTTTCCTCTTTGGATGATGTTTGGAATGATTTGAAATTGTTGTGGCCAAATCCCACTTTCAACAACGTTTGATATTAGACATTGCCTGAGAAAATTTAATACATTAAATGTTAAGACTTCAGTAAATACTACATCCAAAAATAAAAATACACTGTTCACATTCCCACAATCCTTTTCCATTTACAGGTTTCCTAGCTTGTTGTTTTTCTAATTAACTATTATTTCTAACACACCTGTCCTTGTTAGAAGAAGAAAATGTTAATGTCTTTCTAAAAAAATACAAAAAACCCATCCACAGTACAAGAACTGCACAAACTGACAAGGAGCGGCAGGAGTGTGGGGGGAGCATGTACAGCAGCCCGACAGACAAGGCCGAGTTCAACTGCAACTCTTTAAATGAGCGACCTTCATCTTCCTAAAAATGAGCAAAATTAAATCTCTCTCAAGAGACACACTAGAAAAATCTATCGGTTAGAGTTCAGAAAATGTACCCTCATAGAGTTTCAGATATTTGGAAAGAAAAAGCACCTGGAAATTCAACTGTAAATGTGCACAACACGGTCCCACCGAGGGGCCTGCGGCAGAGGCTCTGCACCCCCCGGGTCGCA